CAGTATTTAAGGAGCAGCCACACATCCAGTCTCTGCTGGATCGTTGTGAAGTATAGTGTATGTTACAGCCTTCCAGCCAGAAATTCTACTTTGCAACCTTTAGCCGCCTGTTTCTGCCTGCCTGAACCAATCTCTTGCCGTCTGTTTTTTAATGTTTGGTACGAACCTCTGAGGGAGCAACATCTTCCCAGTGAAACCCAAGTAAGGGGAATTTAATTATTGTATTTCGTAGCGAGAAGCCTGAAGAAGTCCCAAGTCGGGACGAACACGAAGACACACAAAAAGAAAACAACAGGTTAACCAAAAACAATGGGAGGGAATTTAAAGAAGCCAAACAACAAAAAACTAAAAAATGAAAAACATGAAAACTAAAAAAAGAAAAATTATACTTGATATAACAAAGGCGAACTTTTCTAAGAAATAATTTAAATAAATAATATATATAAACCTAAACATAGAAGAAGGGGAAGGGGAGCTGGCCATCCGTAGGAAGGACCATGCATCTCTGGGTTCCACCTAGGTGAAATCCCAGTTCAGTTCCCCTAACCTAACCAGCCAGTGCCTCCTATGGGTCTATGGTCAGTCCCCCCCCATATTAATCTAAATTGAGCTAAATCTAACCCTACTCTACCCAAATCCAACCCCAACCCAAATTGTGGTCCTAATCCTAACTAATTGGCTTATCCTTAGCCCCATTTGTGGTTCTAAACCTAAGATCCTAGCCCTAATTTAATTCCAATCCCTAATCCTAACCTTAATTTGTCAAAACCTAAGTAGAGGAAAAAGAAGCCCAAAAAAAGCATAAAAAGCCAAGAATAAACACAAGTAAAGGCAAACAAATATGAAGGGACTAAGTGTTACCAAATATGTACACTTATAAATTAAAGGAAAAGAATGGGAGTAAGGTAAAAGGAAAGGAAATAGGAAAGGATGGAGGAAAACACGGTTATACGAAAACATAAATATAAATGGACACGAAGATTCGAAGATGAGGGAGAGTATAAAAGGGAGCAACAGACAACAAAAATCAGTTTGGCACGAACCTCTGAGGGAGACACATCTCCCCAGTGAAACCCAAATAAGGGGAATTTTATTGTATGTCGTGGCGAGAAGCCTGAAGAAGTCCCAAGAAGCGGACGAAACATTGCGAGCGCCACCTAGACATACAAAAAGAAAACGACAGGTTAACCAAAACAAATGGGAGGGAATTATAAGAAGCCAAACAACAAAAATACAAAAAAAAAAATGGAGAAACATAAAAACTAAAAAAATATATATAATATATATATATATACCCAGGAATAAAAATACACTACATTTTTTAAAAGAAATGGAATTTGTCATCTAATCTTTGTCCTCTATAGCTGGAGTTTATTGACTGAATAGGTCGACTGTGGATAAGTTAATAATAAATGGAGAGGTAACAGGTGTCCCTTCCTCTCTACCTCTCTCCATTTGATTTGCAGTCCTGTGATTCTCATAATAAAACATAAACCACATATAGAATTGCATCTGCCTCATATACTCTATACAAGCAGACACATAAAAATATGTGCACAGACACACACACTGCAACACATTCAGTCAGCGCACCCAAGCCCACGCATGCACATCCACACACTCACCTTTAGATTAATCTCACCTTGCCGAGCAAGCAGATATAGCTACATATCAGTCCAGTCTGAAAAAGGCTCCTGCAGGCAATTTTCCCTTAATCTGAGGATTTCCATTCTGAGCTGAAAACCTCTTTTCACTCTGGGATGTGCAGCAAACCCCCCACCACCATCCCCCCACATGCATTAAACTTAACATTGCCAAAACAGCAGTGTATAACAACACTGTGTGACATTTTCGGAATCCTTGAAATTGAGCAGACTAAATAAAGATTGTATTCACTCTCGGCTTTCACTTCTCTCGTTCCGCAGCTTATCTTTTGCCTTTTCTGTATCAAAGGTAGGAAATATGATCAAGATGCTCGTAGGAAGACGTCTCTCAGTTCACACAGACTCTCACATACTGTTGAGAGGATGCTATAAGTGAAACAACATGTTGGTTACATTCACTTTTGTTCGTACACACTTAGAAAACAAGACATACAGAACTGTATGAAATGAAAGTGCAAAGGTGCTTAAAACACCTTTGACATCATGTTGAACTGAGTCTTTGCAAGCTTTATACGCATGTTATGATTACAGTATCCACTGCTGTGTGTGTGTGTATGTGTGTGGGTGTATAGCTTACAACTTTGACCAGCTGTGAGATGGAGACCTCAAACTCCACAGTGACAGGGTCAGAGACATTCTCCACCGGTCTGATGAACTGGTTATATCTTCTGAACAGTTTCCTGAATAGCCGGTCCTCTGCCTTGGATGAAAAGCAGTCTGAAGGGACGGAAAGAGGCAGAGAAGAGAGAGAACAGGAAGAGTGACTGGATGAGTGAATGTGAATGAAAATAGAGGAAGAGACTGGAAGAAAAATAAGTGTTGCAAAAAACTGCAACTGTTGTCTTTAAGAAGTTATAGATTTCTGAAACTCTGGTACTAGCAGTGTTAATCAATCACAGAATCACAGCTATCACCCACAGGCCTCCAAATCCATTCTAATCAACTCAAGTCATGCTACACATAACTTTAATATGGAACTGAAAAAAAAGGACATCAGCCTCTTCCAATTTTGCTGCAGCATCGCATCAATCAAGTCTTTTGAGTTATGGATTAATGTTTTATCATATTTGATGAATCGTCTACAAAGAAGTCTCTTTAGATTATAGATCCTTTGCTTAGATCTTCAGAGTTTAAAGTCTACTTTGAACAAGTCTGTGACATGAGATAACTTTAAGGGTCTCTCTCTGTTTGTCTCGTTTACATGGAGCCATGGCATTGAAAACTGTTTGCAGCACGTCCACTTTAAATGTTATGTTTATATCCTGTATAGTCTGTTTTTTTTTTTTTTCATTGGGGTCATTGGATCTGGATGTTCTGTCACTGCTCTCAGTAGAGAATATGAGGAAGGGAGGAAAAGCTCATCACTTCATTCAGTACATGTATGCCCCACACCGACCTTTTAATCCGACCTGCAGAGTGACAGCTTTCTGTCTCACTGCCTCAATTTATTTCAATTTAGTTCAGTTAACCATGAGACCCTTTTCATTAGCTCCTGTTTCCAAACCCATTGCCTGCCATCTAGACCTGAACCTCCAGTCCTTACAGACCTACTACCACTTTTAGGATCTCCCAGTGACTCACAATTCACCAGGACAGTCCCCCAGCTTTGACAACTAAAACATGAATGCTTTGAGCAGAGCTTCAGGATTTAGCCAAAGTACAGCTAAATCTATGGCTTCAGTTCTGTCCAAACAGTTCATTGTCACACTCTAAACCATTGTAACTGCAGACCACTGCAGTTCATCGTGTTAGAAACAAGCAAACATTTGTCCCAAGAGTAATTCTCTCTGTTTATTTAGGTAGCATCATGAACAGACAGGTGGTATATTACCATATCCAAGATATCCTAGAATAGAATCTCATTTAAGCTCAAATAAAAATGTAATAGCTAAATGGAGATAAATCACAGTGACAAGCATGTCCTCTTCTCTTCTCCTGACTAATGGTAAATATAGATAGGTAGGTGTTGCAGCTGTGGGGGTTCATCCTTTATGAGTACATGATTTATTAGAGTTTACCTAAATATAGGCATGTCTTTGGTTGGACTGCTGTGCTGAATACGTAACCAAAATATGAAGGGCCTTGTTTGCTAATTAACCAGGAAGGAGACTGGAAGGCCTGAGGCATATCAGCATGTCTACCTAGTGGAAAATGCACGGCAAGCTATTTTAACCTAGTGCAGAGGAGTTGTAGACTGTATCCTGAGGGCAGGAGATGAAGTAAAGGTTTTTTTATGCTCAGGTGAGGAATTGAGTTGTGGGAGGAGCTGCTAAACATTATCCTTACTTGACATAGAAACATTGGAATCTGGCTAATGGCTAATGTGTCAGAATTATAGCGAATTCAAAACACCATCCCATAGTTGCTAAACTCATCCAAAACTGATCCAAAGTGAATTTTCAGGTGAATTTCCATTTTTGGGGTTCACTTTACTTTTAATGATCAGTATTTTTATAGCCATTTATTTGTGTTTTTACATTCAGTAATTACCTCTTTATGTAGTATTTAACATTTTCAGTGGTGGAGTCCGCCATTCCCACCTCAGTTAAAGGAACCTTCCTACATATGAGGGATTCACAGGAAACTTTATTGTTTGAAATTTGATCTCATTGATATCAGCCTCACTGTTTGATGTTCACTCTCCTAAGACCATATCAGAGCTGTTTTAAGTTACTGCTCATGCAAACCAAACATTTCCTACTGCTGATGCTTTACATTAAAAGCACACTGGCTAAACACAGGGTGGTTTTCACTGTGAAGCAACCAGAGGAAATGCAATGTATTTTTCTCAGCTGTTAGTGCTGGCCACAATGGTTAATGCAATGAAATATGCACATATAAAACAAAATAGCAGTCATTTTCCTGCATTTTTTGATAGGAGATCAGTTTTAAATATTATATGAAGTGTAGAAAAGGTCTGCCATGGACAGCATCAAATCAGATATCGCGGCTTGAAGAAAAAAAGCAAATTATTGACTGACTTTGCAAGTTTGTTTTGCAGCTGTAAAAAAAGATCAGTCACTGGTCTGTTGTATTTCTGACAAAGTAGCTGCTCAAGGACAGTTTTCTAACCCCAGAATTAACCTCACTTGCTGATACCACAGTAACCATGTGTTGCCAAATCAACCAGGACAGAAAACGTTACCTTTAAATGTAGTTATGATATATAATAACAGTAAAACTGTACAACTGTAAAAACATGATAAACCAGTTTTTGTTGGTTGTGTAAGCCACAAACGTTTTCAAAGTGAACCATTTCAAAACGTTGAGTTCAAAGTTCCCCACACAACTGAGTCACAATGGTTATCACTCCTGCAGCTTGTGAACATGCTCACCCACTCCTCCTCCTTCAAGACCCCCAGTACTCTTAGCGTCACACAGAAACCCAGCTTGCTCCCCATCACACTCTATAAATATCAAGATCAATACTACATTCTTCTCTACTGGACAGCTCTCAAGGTTGTTTGATGGAGGACAAGGGGCAGGAGAGAGCTGGATTGGAGAGGGAATGCATAAAAGGGACAAAAAAAGAAAAAAACACGAAGAAATGTGGGAAGCAGACAAAGAAGGTGACCACCATTCAGAAAACCTTTGCAGAACTTGTGTCACCTCATAGACACCGTCAGATTTTGCTTCTATCGTTTTCCCCTAAACTCTTAATACTATCCTCATTTGACTAAAACCAGCCAAACTGAGTTTGGAATAGATGAGAAAATCTCTTAATTAAAATGGACTTCTTTGGCGAAGGCTTGAAATCCTAATGATGAAACACTGCTGACCCTATTACATCAAGATCCCTTCCTCACAGGCAAGAGATAACCCTCATCATGTAGACAACAATGGCACCAGAAACCCAGCTGGTGCTGAACTCCTGGTGACAGCCCTCTGGAGAGAACGACAAGAGGGATAAAAAAAAAAAAAACACCAAGAGGAGGAGAGGAGAGGAGAGAAGAGGAGAGAGGAGAAGCAGAGACAGACTGAAAGCAAAGCCTTCTTAAGATGTCACTCAACAGATTAGACTTCATAGCCCTCCGTCTGTTAGCTGCCTAGCATGTGCTAATGCTATGCTAAACAGCGTTTTAAGGGAGCATGGTAGGACACTTTGCATCTGATCCATGTTTGGCAAAAAAAAAGAAAAAGAAAGAAAGAAAAACATTCAAATACACAGTGTTGACAGCAGTATTCTTTTGGACAAGCAAAAGAAATAGAATACAACAAAATAGAATAGAATAGAACAATAGAAATAGGAAGGAAGGATGTAAGAAAGGTAATTTTAATTAAAAGATAAAAGAAAAGAAGAAGGAGAAATTAGATGGACTGTCATGGTGCTTCATCTACTTGTTAGTATAATTACAAAGGCAGTGCTGCTCTCTGTAACATGTCCACTGACTAAACCAGCTCTTTGATCAAAACAGGATCCTATGCTCACACGCTCACACACACACGCAAGTGCACACAGACACACATTTAACATGGTCAGATGCATTTCACGTTGAGAAGCATAAAAGAACCAATTATGACTGAAAATGAGCCACAGGTTCTACGCACTTTCATCTGGATTTATTACATTTCTGTCCTCTCTCTCTCTCTCTCTCTCTCTCTCTCTCTCCCTCTTTCTGTCACTCCAATTACTATTCTACCAACGTCACTCGCCCTTTTTCACTGGCTGCTTTCGTCATGCTAGGAACATATCACATGACAAAAAGGTAATGAGGTGAAAAATGATTTAGGGGAGAGTCTTCTTAAATGTAGCGCGCATGTTTTCTCTCTTGCTACGCAAATGCCATTATGATCCTATCACAGTGTTTTATGATACATGGAGGTCATTTGCTTGACAATATTACATTTGTCTATAAATCTCTGGGTAAAAGTATGAACAAGTAGTGGTGCAACTGCAGCTTATATTACAGTAAGTCATGTTTTTAGAAGTTTAAAGTCATATGGCTATTTTAGCAATGCAGACAAGCTTATTTAGTTCCTCCGTCCTAATATAATAACAAGTTAAACAGCAACCTGATAACTGGAGAAAAAGAAGCCAGCTGCAGCTTTTGACAGAGGAAAGCAGAAGAGTTCGTGATTACAGTCAAGTCAGCAGCATGTACAGTTAATGTACTCAAATGTACAGTATGAATTATTCAACTGAATGTGCAGATTCTGTCAAAACCCACTTAGAAAGAAAGTTGGTTCAAATATGTGTCCCGTGAGATATTTAATGCACCGAAGACATGAGGGTTGGAGGTCAACTTGCACACTGTGAAAAAAATATTCTGGAGATGACAGTCATTCAGGACGATGATGGAGAGCGTGTGAGGAAAAGGTAGAGGGGGCAGAGGCAGGAGGAGAAAAGTGAAGGACAGATAATGAGTGATGGAAGAAGAGACCATTTTATGGGCTGTTTGAGAGGATACTGTTGGAGAGCCATTTAGCCTCCATTCTCCCCTGAGCATGCAAATGCTTTTAAAGTAGAGTGAGAAAGAGAGACGGAGAGGAAGAGAGGGAGACTGGGGTGAAAGTGTGTTTTTTTACTTTTACATCTTCATCATGTATAATTCTTATTTTGTAAATACTGAATAAAAGGAGGCATGCTTTTGCAATGAGCCCATACTGTTTGTTTTCCTTTTGTACCTACAAAGCTGAGCTGAAATGAGCTGAAGTCAACTGACAGAGATTAAAAAGGAGGAGAAAAGTAGAGAGAGGGAGAGAGACAGAGAAGACAGAGATACAACTGAGTAAGGTGAAGTGAAAAGCTGATGGCAGCAACCGAATCTAAGAGATTTGTGAGTGAGAAAGTATGGTGGATGCACAAAAATGTGAGAGACAGGTGTAAAGAGCCAGAGACAATAGGACAGTGAAGCAGGGATATACTGTGTGTGTGTGTGTGTCCAGCAAATGAAGTAGGAAAAGATGTGATCCCAATGACAGCAGAATGCACTTTCTCATCACAGCTACACTGTGTTAAAGCCTGCAAATAACTTTCTTCAATTTTTCTTTTCTCTCATTCTTTTAATTTGTTCTGTCTCTTTTCAGCAGATATAAGAACTAATGCAGGTCCAATATAGTGCTATTAAAAGCCTCATGGCATTCACAGAAGACTGCACATGTGTCTGTGCGCTCACACATTTTCATGTGAAAGGGAAATAAAAAATGTTCACCTTCAGAATGAGCAGATCAAATATAAATTGCACGTCTTTCCCCTCAAGGCTCGTTCCCAAAAAAGTGGGTTACATGAATTTGAATATGTTTCATGTAAAGGAGTCATTCAACCTTTGTAGATCAATTTCTCAACAGTGGCTTTCTTATGATGAAAATGTACATTTTGTGGTGATTAGGTGTAAATGAGACCCTGAAGTGGCCATACTCCTCTCTCTGGGGTTCAGGAAATGTCACCTTGGAGAAGCCAGAATGATAAAAATCAGGCACCAACTATTTTATCTTCTTTGGGATGGTACACCTATTATTACACCAAATATGCTAACAGTGAAACATGTTCTGCCTGGCATATGTATTGCTTTTGCTCACGAATGACGCTCCCACTCTTTATATATTGTGGTAAAACTGTGAGAACTAGTGTACAGGTTGGGTGTTCGTGAAAACAGGCGGACGATCACAGCGCTGCAGTGAGAGGTGTTCTCAATACATTTATCTATGACTCAGTTTGGGTTTAGCCACGCCCCCCTCTGCTCTGTGTTCTGCTCTATAAATGTTACTGTGATATAAGCCTTGTTACCACACACACACCTTATCACCATAGTTCACTGACCGGATCATCAGTCATACACCCAAATACATTGATAGAGAAGCCTCCATTTAAATACAAGGGTCGACATGATGTATGTACAGGCTGAGGTAACACATTTGTGGAAGCACATTAAACCACCTGAAGCAAAAGAGATACTGTATATGTGTACACGCTATCCACTCTTTGCATGCGTGTTCATATATTTTGAAGGCACTGGGGACCCCTATGTGTGTATTAGATTCCATGTGTATGAGGTTGCAGAGAAAAATACAGTCACATTAGCCTACTGTTTCCCTATACTCAGCCCCGAACAAGGAAGTGCAGTCTAACGTGGGTAGTAGATAAATGTTAATCAGAGCCATCACAAACTGTAATCAGTCTGTAAAAGCAACGCCTAAGTTTGTAGCCTGGTAGTGTAATGTTGCAGTTAACATAGTGATGATGTACCCCTAGAATACTGATAATGTTCCATCTCCACTGTTTTTAGTGGCTGATGGTGCACATCCACACAGTCAAAGCTAACAAAGATGAACTCTGAACTGTGTCCATCCGAGCTGACTGAAGCACTGAAACAGGAAATGCATGCTTGAATTAGTCTGTCTGCAGGCATCTATGGATGTGAATGGGAGACAGAGCGAATGTTTGTGTGGTGGAAGTGCAACCGTTCCTTAAATCATTTGCTAATTTGTGTGTAGAGTTGTGAATATGTATCTGTAAATGTGTATTTGGATTTGTAAGTGTCCTTAATCCTTAATTCAACTCTGTCTACTAATTTGCTTTGCCAAATATCTTACGCAGGATCAATAATTGCTGCCATAATTACATTCATTGGCAATACATCTTCCAAACCAGAAATGTGACATCCCTATAGGTCACAGAGGTCATAAGGAGGAGATGAATGGATGTGCGTACAAAGCACAGGGTTTTCACTCTACCGACAACTACATTCAACCAAGCCTACGATCTTCCTTTAACCTTAACCAAGGTTCACCTGCTAGCTGGCTAACATTAGCTCCTGTAGCTGGGCCCCGAGTGAATACCAGTAACTTCTGGAATAATCCCAGAAGCCCCTTTGTATTTAGCAGTGTGACTGAGCCCACATTTACATACAGATCGAGATTGAGGTTCACGACTTTACACAAACACTTCCAAATGATTTAGGTACAAACTTGACTTCTGAAAATACACAGAGAGAGAGAGAGACACACACACACACACACACACACACACATAAACGCACTCACAGACACCTTCAAGCCCAGAGTGTCATGCATGGAATAAAGTGTGTGTAGAGCCTGATAAACCATAAAAGAGCCTATCTGCCACCTTGCATAAATCAGATAGCTGCAATTTATGCCCTTGGAGCAAATGTTTACGTTACTGCTTTGAAATGCCGCCGCATAATTACCGTCTCTGCATCTATTCCACAGAGTGGCTCCAGGTCACATCCAGGCTCTGCCACAGCTGCGGTCAGTGATTAAGTCTCTGGCTGCATTTCAAATAATACACAATCCTTCCTTCCTTCCTTCCTTCCTTCCTTCCTTCCTTCCATCCTTCCTTCCTTCCTTCCATCATTCCTTCCTCCCTTCCATGATTTCTTACTCTCTCCCCCTCTTCCTTCCTTCCTTTCTTCCTGTGTCCCTCTCCTCCTTCCTTGCGTCCTTCCTTTCATGCATCTTTTCATCCTCCCTTCTTAATCCAATCAATTTCTGCTTAATGTCTACAGACAAAGCTGCTTTTTCTTATTTTAAAAAATATATTCACTTATCAGTCATCAATACATCCATAATGTAACTTTAAATTAATCTTAATTTAATCAATTTTAATCCAGCTAACACAACCTGTAACCCTCAAATATATGTATATCCTCACTTTAAAGCTTAAAGCTTTATTTACAAAGAAGTACAGAAAGAAACACACTAATGAGTCAATACAACTTTTTATTCACACCATAATTGGGGTAAAACAAAATAAGGTTATCAGGTTTATCCAAAGGCGCATATTTCAGTGAGAAAGGTTTTTATCAAATGCCTGCAGACGGCAGATTTCCCTTTACCCTGCCCTCTATGAATAAAACAATGCTGGCACAGGCACTGTATAACCCTACAAACTCTCTCACCAGCCATAAAAGGGGAAAACAGATCCTGCAAACAAAATCTAATCTGTTTTGGTTTACTGAAATCACGACTCATGCCTCAAAGCGAAATTTGCATTCATCAAAATTCATTTGCCTATTCTCGCATTTTCCTGCATTTCATTTTGTTGGCCTAGTTAACACGAAACCAATTCATAGATGATGTTTATGACACGATCATGTGGAGAGAGAAAAACATCTTCAACAAATTCATGAGGCAGACATTTACATTTTAGCATTAAATCGTTTTAAGGATTGTTTTGTTATTTTCAAAAAGATCATAAAACTGGAAAAAGTTACTAGACTGGTCGATCACCATAGCTCTAAAGGCTAAGAAACTTATTTGGCTTTTACGCACTGGACAGAAACTCCACTGCCTCGTTGCCGACTCCTCAGCTGAATAAATAATACAAACTTTGCGTTTGATTGAACCATCAACCAAGTTGACTCTCCAGGCACAGACGCGCGTAAATCTCACATTTATCATCGCCTCCTCTTTTAAACCAAACGATCTAAAATCCTTTATATGCATCTGAACCACCATTATCTTAAAGCCTACCTGGCATAGAGCCTACTTACCTCGCGTCATCAAACCCACGAGAAGAAGCAGCAAAGTCCATCTCGCCGCCGGCTGCATCTCTCTCCCGTGACGCTTGGGGATCCTCTTCACTTTTTTCTCAAGGAACTCTGTCCTTGAATCGACGACTGAAAGAAGTAAAGTGAAATGAAAACGTGCGTTTCTCCCCTGGTGCCGTTTGTCTCGCTCTGCCGGTGCGCTCTTTCCCGATCCGATCCGAACTTGACTTCGCTCGTCCCTCCCCTATGAGCGCAAAGCTCCCCTCTGGCGCATCATTACGGACTCCACACAGGGAGGGGAAAACCGCCCTAACAATTGCTCTGAAGCATTGAAGGCGAAATTTGACAGGAAGACCATATTAAGATATAAAATGTAAGCTTAATTAGAGGAGGAATGTTTGGCACAGGTGTCTAAAAGGTCTGGTCAGTAATCATCACAATAAAATAGAATAATTACATTAGGTCAGTATTCAGGTGCTGCGCTCTTATACTAAGATCTTCAGCTCATAAAGACGCGTTAGAAAGTTTTTCTGTGATGTGAAACGCAGGGCTGAATGATCCTGGTGTTTGCAGACAGTTACGCAGCTGACTTCAGCACCACGGACAGCGGCAGTGAGTTTAGAGCTGTCTGTGGTGCTGAAGCTGCGCACTTAGGCGTTCTTACTTTAGGGTTATTTTATATCTTACTAACATTTTACACCATGCTTGGTCGCCTTTTCAGACGCTGAAATGAATCTTACTGAAGCACATGTCAGTGTATCCTGATGAGTTAAAGTACAAGACGTGCATTACTTCAGACTCTTTGCTAAATCCCAGATTAGAGATTGACCGTTTAGCGTGTTGTGTCTGTTCCCAGCCGCTAAACTGCAGCACCGCGCTGCGCTGAGGAGGAAACTTGAGCTGCTCGCAAACGTCGTTTCTGCCTCATTGAGAAGCGGCGCTCGTATGATGTGCTTCCCAGGTGTCTGTTTACCAGCCCTCCGGATGGCGCTGATTAAGTTTAATTTTAGCCCGCGATTTTCCACGCATGGTTTGACGTCATCAAACACAGTAATTAAGGGAGTAATGCTCAGCCGGGCTGAACTGAACCGAGCCGACACAAAACCTTCAGTGAGTGAACGGAAAACACACACACGACGAGCAACACACACAGACGGAGGAGACCGGGTGACGAGGACCGAGTGAGAAGAGAGAGAGAGCATTCACCTTCACTCAAAGTTTATGTGCCTTTTTTTCGCACTTGATTAATTCGATGACACGAACACCACACACACACAGAAACATATGCGTATTCTACCGTTTTTTGACATTGATAAATTGGAACTCTTGTGATCACAACCTCCTGTTGATCAAGTTCTGATTAAGTTAATTAATTATTTCATTATTCAATTTCCTTTTAATTTCCCCTACAGGTTTATCAGACAGTTAAGATTTGTTTTATATATATATACTTGTGAGAAATAACACAATTTTACAACAAAAAGGTGTAGTCACTATTTAAAAGATCATGGGCAAAAAAATAAAAACACTTCCAAAAAAAGAAATGCTAATACCAGTCACTTCAGTTAGAGGTGTTGGGACTTGTGCCCAGTAGGGCTGATAAGTATTCACCCACGCTGACTAGTTTATTGTCTATCAGATCTTGCAAATGCTTGTAGATGTTCCAGTATGGTGATCTGTTATGTTGAATACGTACATGACCTATTATCATTGAAAAAGTACCGTAGTTTGTCCAGTTTTTTTTTTTGGTTTTGTTTATGTGTTTTTATATACTGCACTCCTTGATATCGGGAATACATCAATACTAACATCACTGAGCCATATACATCTATTATGACCATATTTTACTTCACTTTACTTTAACTGAATATTATCTTTTACATTAATTACCAAGATAACAAAAACACTTCAGGATGAGACTGGAACAATGAGTGAAGCAGCTGAATGAGTGGTCTTTTGCCTCAGGTGAAACTCTACCAGATGTGACATGTATAAATATCCTCTGAATATATAGGTGTGTGTATACTGGGGCCTATACACACACACTTTATGTCAAGACCTTCATCCTCAGGCCATATCAGCCAGGATAAACACAATCAACCTTCACAACAATGTCTGAGGGTTGTCACAACAATCAGTATTCTCTCATTTCAACACGAGTACAACCATCAAAACATTGTGCATTTCTCCTTCTCTTCTTTATTTTGATTTAGACACTGGAAGGAGTTTACTGTTACAGAGCCTAATCCCTGCAGACAGGCAGCACATAAAAAGGACAGATGAAGAAAAAATAGAATAAGCACAACGGGGATAATGTGTTTTTCCTGTTGCTGGTGTCGCCATCTGACAAGTGCTGAGCTCACAGTGTGGCGTCATGACACGCTTGTCTTCGCCAGCCTTATTAGTGAAGCGGTTTAGAGGAGGAACTAGGTGAGAATCAGTGTTTCTGCCAGGACTGTTTAGCGTGACGCACCATAGCTGCTCTGCCCGGGGCAATGTTTAATTCATGTTTTTCCTAAAAGCTGGATGCACAGAGTCAAAAAGCCCATTAGTGTCATCCTCTTCTCTCTCCACAGCATCTCCATTTTCACTTATTCTCCTCTCAGCCGTTGTCCCAACAATACACCAACTTTCACTGTGTCCTCCTTTTCATACTTTCGTTCCCAGTTTCACTAGATTTTCCTTATTTGTTCAATATATTTCTTTCTGATCCCCTTCTCCTTTCACCTCACATACCTCGAACAGGCCTTTTCCCCCTGCACCTGCTCTCATTCATACAGCGTACACTGGTGCCATCTTTCTGCCTCAAGTGAAACACAACACATAAAAATATCCAGCTCCCTCGCTAGAACTTTTAGACCATCCTGAATTATTCACATCCACATATCTGCACCACATCTCCCGACCCCGAGAGAAGTGCTTTTATTTTCAACCCCAAGTAATGAAATCTGGATGGCCTTTTTTATTCTCCCTGGCATGATTGTCTCACTGAGGTGGGTTTAATGGAGCGGAGGTGATCAGAGGCTTCTGGAAGCTTCCAGGAGGCAGGGAGGTGGATATCATCCTTGTATGGTGAGAAAAGATATAACAGTGGTGGTAAAGAGGTCATGGGTTGCAATATGGACAGAGCTGAATGCATGCCTACCAGAGAGGTTCAGTGCTGCTGCATCCAGGAAATCATCATCAGTCGACTCACCAAACAATAGCCTGTTCTACAAATGGCTGCACCCTCATGCAGTGCACAACACAAGTGAAATGCATCATGGTATTACAATACATGCACTTAAGAAAGTTGAATACAGTTTTGACTGTCCAAATACTCTTTCTACTTTTAGTGCAAAGAGCCACATGAGCTAAAAGCTGCATCCCCCAAACCCTTTTCTTAGGCTACAAACAAGGACTTGGTTATTGCATGCATCACATAGACATTATTTTTAATCATTGCATCATTTTGTGTAACTTCTCCATAGTGACTTGAACATACGGCGTCTCCGCACTTTTCAGACAGTTTATTACTGTGGGTGCACCATGCTAGAGTTCATCAAGTGTAATCCAATGCAAATGTCGTTATATTGGATTGCGTTGCAACAGCCTCCAAACTGATGAGAGAGTTTAATCAACATCTCTCTGATATGGTCCCTACAAAAGCTGAATACAAGGAAGTACTTTTTTTGTCAAGGCTGTTGTTTTGGATTGTATTAGCTGGAGGTTAACTGGACTGCGCCCAAAGGTTTGTTACACAGAACCATCTGTTGTCATTGGAAACTGAAAAATCTCACGAATAATGTACCGGCATGTTCCGGTGGTCTCTCCCCTTCCTCTACGTAGCGCAAATGGTGACCACTGAGCCTGAGAAGTGTCCAATGTTCCACACTCAACTTTTTGAACGTTGGCTCATAGTGCACTGCATTTCTCCACACTCAACAGTGTGAATGCACTTATGTACTCAAAATTGTTAGCGTATGTATGGACGTATTCAAATTGAGACACAGCAAGTGCCCACCCCTGTAGCTGCCAGTACTTCCACAAAAAGAGGCTTATTGGAATGGTACAAATGCATAGATTGAATCGTGGTAATATGGATTCTCGCACGATCGTGTAATTTTGTGATCCAGCTGTAAGTTAGATGGAGATATGTATACCAATTAGACTAGCAATGTATTTGACAAATCAGTTTGTTTCAGACCTAGTGTAGCTACAATGTAAGTGTTTATTAAGACAAAAAATTATAGAGAGAGTATAGTGAGTACAGTAGGTATCCTTTTAGTAAGAACTTCAAGGTAGAATAATAATTTCATGAATCAAATGTTGATAAATGTTTATGGTTGGCATTTTTCTGCCTCTCTATAGAATAGATTTTAGTGGTAGTGGCAGAGTCTGCACATGAGGGTGCCACAAATACCAGCTTGATTCATCTCGTTATTTTCTCCCAGTCTACTTGTTTCCCTATAATACTAACCGGTCATTTCAGACCCTGTCACTTGCCTGCATGACTCTGCCTAAACATGGAACTCCTTTTGTCTAATCCCTGCCTGGTTAAGTTTGCCTTTCTTTGTTTCCTGACTTCCCTTCCCTTTTTTAAATGGGAAGAGAAACTTTTATCTTTATCTGCTCTGTTTCTGGGTCCTGCTTTAGCTACCTTAACTGATATATTACAGAGGGATTCACAGGAAAACGATGTAGCATGGAATCCAGCACAATTTAATCTCATTGCTAAAAGTGTTTGCTGTAGTATTAAACCAGTTTCTGTAACCACAGTAACTACTGTTGTTACCAAATCAACCAGTACTGAAATCTGAAACTTAACCTATTAATAAACAGTTGTTGCAAAACAGGCATGCAGTCCATATATAGTCATTCTTCTTGCTTTCTGCTGACCTCTCACTGATTGAGTCAGCATATGGTTGAGGATATTTCAGGAAGACATTCAAGTTTTACATTCAGATTACTGTAAGGCAAAATGCCCTACTGGAATCAATGAAAAAGGAGAAGACTGTGGTTGTAATTGTGCATCTCCTAAATGTGAACATTGCACTTTAAACAAGTCACTTTTCCAAAGAACTTTCTCACTGTTTTAGTGTAAATAAATATGTTGAATTGTAGTTGACAAAGACAATGAACCCCAAAGTGCCCTCAAAATAAGCACGGGGAACAAAACACCATATTAATATTGCTTTTTATTGCTTCAGTGATGGTTTAATGGCAGCCATTGAATCTAAAGTCTTTAAACCCAACCGGTCGAGACAGACAGCCGCCCA